ACCAAAAATCATAACCTGACCCCCTACTCCTCCAAAACTATGATTTTTGAGAAGTTCGTGAAAAAACTTAATACGAAAATCCAATCGATTACCCTCCTAGACTTACCCGTTCCAAGATAAAGTAAGGCCTTCAAAACAACGATTTTAACACATTTGGGGTTTGGGTTAGGGTTAGTGTTTGGGTTAGGGTCAGGGTTTGGGTCAGGTTAGGGTAGTGTACTTTGGCGAGGGTTAGTGAGGTGACCTTTTTTATTCCTTGGCGCATGTCTGACCTTTTTTGTGACTGCGCATGCGTGAGAAATTTCCAAAAATATTTCTAAGTACAGAGTATGAAAAGTGCCTTTGACTTCAATCTTCAAACAGGTGTAGAATGGATTTGAATAGAGATATTTTCTTAAAGTTAACTGTTCCGAAAAGATGAAAAGGCGATCTAGAGGATGAAAACTTATTGATATCACTGAAGTGTACGGCCGCACTTTCCGACCTCATTGAAGAAACGTTTGTGTGAGAGTGAAGCCTAACCCCGAAATTAACCCCAACTCCCAAACTACAAAAGAGAAAGACATGCGGTCTTCACCATAGGCTTAATTGTAAAAAAGAACTACCCTTAATGGGACCAATTTTTTAATGTCAAGGATCATGTTGAAATTTTGAAAAGGTCGACTTTAAAAAGTACCAAAAATCATAACCTGACCCCCTACTCCTCCAAAACTATGATTTTTGAGAAGTTCGTGAAAAAACTTAATACGAAAATCCAATCGATTACCCTCCTTGACTTACCCGTTCCAAGATAAAGTAAGGCCTTCAAAACAACGATTTTAACACATTTGGGGTTTGGGTTAGGGTTAGTGTTTGGGTTAGGGTCAGGGTTTGGGTCAGGGTTTGGGTTAGGGTCAGGGTTTGGGTCAGGGTTTGGGTTAGGGTTAGGGTCAGGGTTAGGGTCAGGGTTTGGGTTTGGGTTAGGGTCAGGGTTTGGGTTAGGGTCAGGGTTAGGGTTAGGGTCAGGGTTAGTGTTAGGGTAAGGGTCAGGGTAGTGGACTTGAAGGATGGTAGTGGACTTTGGCGAGGGTTAGTGAGGTGACCTTTTTTATTCCTTGGCGCATGTCTGACCTTTTTTGTGACTGCGCATGCGTGAGAAATTTCCAAAAATATTTCTAAGTACAGAGTATGAAAAGTGCCTTTGACTTCAATCTTCAAACAGGTGTAGAATGGATTTGAATAGAGATATTTTCTTAAAGTTAACTGTTCCGAAAAGATGAAAAGGCGATCTAGAGGATGAAAACTTATTGATATCACTGAAGTGTACGGCCGCACTTTCCGACCTCATTGAAGAAACGTTTGTGTGAGAGTGAGGTTAGGTTAGGGTTAGGGTTAGGGTTAGGGTTAGGGTTAGGGTTAGGGTTAGGGGTTAGGGGTTAGGGTTAGGGTTAGGGTTAGGGTTAGGGTTAGGGTTAGGTATCATATAGAGGGGGGCACCTGGGGTGTAGGCTGACTATTAAGGGTTGTGATATGGCTGGCGTATGAATATATGAGGGTTAGGGTTAACCCTAACCCAAATTAGGGTTAGGGTTAGGGTTTGGGTTAGCCGGATCTTTTTTTCTAACCCTAACCCTTTCAAGTGCGCATGCGCCGATATGTTTTGGATTCAAGGGTCCCCCTATAGTAATACATACTTAGTTGTATATATAGTAGTTTTTTTGTAACAATTTCCTGAAGAAGGTATGCCAAAATTTGCATATTGAAATTCAGGGGAGATAATCTGATAAGGCTTATAGGCAAACTTTGAAAAAATCGTATCTCTGTTGTTGACCGTCCGATTTTTAAACTGTTTAGCGTTTTGGAAAGGGAATTCAATTGCGCACATTTTGGTGTCTTGATATTGAAAATGTATCGGGGCATTCAAAAGTTATAGGTCGCCGAAGAAAACGTGTCAGAAACTGTGGTACAACGATCCCTAATTGTTAAGAAATGATAGCCTTTCATGAAGGAGTTTAAGTGTCAAGCTGCTATATTTGTTGTATTCATCAATATCTTGAGCCAATATGTACCCTTTTCCTTGAATATTCTCTACCGGCATAATAATTTTATTCTTTATGTACCTCGCGATGAAAATTTTGTCAAAAATTAAGCGCTTCGTAAGTCTACGGTTATACTAAAACTTTTGTCGACAAGAATAAAAAGAGCCAATATTTCTTCTTTTGAATGATATTCTGGTACTGGCCTTATAATTGAGCACTTTTAAATACATCCTGATGGGTTGTTTGACATTAAATGGGAATGAAAACAAGTTTAAATAACAAAATTTGTTGTCGGTATAAACAAAAGGTGCCAATATCTTCCCTTCTTCCTGATTTTTCTGGTCCGGCATCATTATTTGAATCTCAGAATGAATGGTTTGACACAAATTGAGAGATTTATAAGTGTACGGTTACTAATATTTATGTCGCGAAACAATTAAAAGTGACACTATTTCATCTTTGTTCTATTATTCTTGTACTGGCCAGGTAATAGAGGCCATTTGATACATTCAAATGGATTGTCAGACATAAAAGTGAAAGAATAAATGTTTTGAAGTGCTATATTTGTTGCATTCAGCAATATAGGGGGCCAATATTGACCATTTTCTTGGTTATTACTTACCGGCATTAACATTTTATCCTTTCAGTACCTTAGGATTGATAGTTTTACACAGGTTTGGAGTCTACGGTTAATAAAACATTTGTCGACAACTATAAGAATGCATAATTTGACAACAATTGAGAGATTTATATGTGTACGGTTACTGATATTTATGTCAATACAAACTAAAAGTGACAATATTTCATATGTTGTATGATACTTATGAGTTTAGGAGGATTTGTATTTGTTGTCTGCATCTATAAATGGTGCCAATATCTATCCTTTTTGATGATACTTGTGTGCCAGCATGAACATTTTATTCTTTTGATGGATAATTTGACACTGTATAAGTCTACGGTTACTTATATTTGTGTCGATAACAATAAAAGGCGACAATATTTCTTTCTTTTTGATGATACTTTTGTGCCGGTATAAACATTTCATCATTAGGATGGATAATTTGACACTGTATAAGTCTACGGTTACTTTTATTTGTGTCGATAACAATAAAAGGCGACAATATTTCATTCTTTTTATTGATATTCTTGTACCGGCTTGGTAATTGAGTACTTTTTGTACCTCAAAATTGATTGTTAGACATTAGAGCGAAGGATTTTAAGTTTCAAATGCTATATATGTGTTGTACTCATCAATATAGGGTGTCAACATTGACCTTTTTCAAAGTCTGAGTGCGCATGCGCGACATGCCTTGGATACAAGGGTTCCCCCCATTAGCATATGTGTACTGAGTGCTTTATATAGTAGGCTTTGTGTAATAATTTCCTCAAACAAGTTGACACAAAATTTGAATTCAGGGAAGATAATCCAATTAGGAATATAGGCAAAGTTTGAAAAATCGTAGCTCCGTTGTTTGCGGTCCGATGTATAAACTGTTTAGTGTTTTGGAAAGGACATTTAACTGCGAAAATTGTGCTGACTTGATAGTGAAAATAAAATGTGTATAGCCGTTAAAGAAGACTTGGGTATTTGTTTACATATCAGACGTAGTAAGGAATACGGGAGGCTATATGGCAAACTTTGAAAAAATCATAGCTCCGTTTTTAACCGTTTGATTTACAAAATGTTTAACGTTTTGGAAAGGACATTCAATTGGGCAAATTGTGCAGTCTAGGTTTGGAAGATCAGTTCAGGCATTCAAAAGTTATAGGTCGATAAAGAACACATGGGTATTTGTTTACATATTAGACGTAGTATGGAACACGGAAGTGTACATGGCAAACTTTGAAAAATCATAGCTCCGTTGTTTACCGTTCGATTTCCAAAATGTTTAACGTTTTATAATGGGCATTCAATTGCGCACATTTTGGTGTCTTGATATTGAAAATGTATCGGGGCATTCAAAAGTTATAGGTCGCCGAAGAAAACGTGTCAGAAACTGTGGTACAAAGATCCAATGTGCTCCACCTAAATGTTAAGAAATGATAGCCTTTCATGAAGGAGTTTAAGTGTCAAGCTGCTATATTTGTTGTATTCATCAATATCTTGGGCCAATATTTACCCTTTTCCTTGAATATTGTCTACCGGCATAATAATTTTATTCTTTATGTACCTCGCGATGAAATTTTTTTCAAAAATTAAGCGCTTCCTAAGTCTACGGTTATACTAAAACTTTTGTCGACAAGAATAAAAAGAGCCAATATTTCTTCTTTTGAATGATATTCTGGTACTGGCCTTATAATTGAGCACTTTTAAATACATCCTGATGGGTTGTTTGACATTAAATGGGAATGAAAACAAGTTTAAATAACAAAATTTGTTGTCGGTATCAACAAAAGGTGCCAATATCTTCCCTTCTTCCTGATTTTTCTGGTCCGGCATCATTATTTGAATCTAAGAATGAATGGTTTGACACAAATTGAGAGATTTATAAGTGTACGGTTACTAATATTTATGTCGCGAAACAATTAAAAGCAACACTATTTCATCTTTGTTATAATATTCTTGTACCGGCCAGGTAATAGAGGACATTTGATACATTCAAATGGATTGTCAGACATAAAAGTGAAAGAATAAATGTTTTGAAGTGCTATATTTGTTGCATTCAGCAATATAGGGTGCCAATATTGACCATTTTCTTGGTTATTACTTACCGGCATTAACATTTTATCCTTTCGGTACCTGAGGATTGATAGTTTTACACAGGTTTGGAGTCTACGGTTACTAAAACATTTGTCGACAACTATAAGAAGGCATAATTTGACAACAATTGAGAGATTTATAAGTGTACGGTTACTGATATTTATGTCGATACCAACTAAAAGTGACAATACTTCATATGTTGTATAATATTTATGAGTTTAGATGTATTCTCAGACACAAAAGTGAAGAAATGAATGTTTCAGGTTGCTTTATTTGTTGTCTGCATCTATAAATGGTGCCAATATCTATCCTTTTGATGATACTTGTGTGCCAGCATGAACATTTTATTCTTTTGATGGATAATTTGACACTGTATAAGGCTACGGTTACTTTTATTTGTGTCGATAACAATAAAAGGCGACAATATTTCTTTCTTTTTGATGATACTTCTGTGCCGGTATAAACATTTCATTCTTAGGATGGATAATTTGACACTGTATAAGTCTACGGTTACTTTTATTTGTGTCGATAACAATAAAAGGCGACAATATTTCTTTCTTTTTATTGATATTCTTGTACCGGCTTTGTAATTGAGTACTTTTTGTACCTCAAAATTGATTGTTAGACATTAGACTGAAGGATTTTAAGTTTCAAATTGCTATATGTGTTGTACTCATCAATATAGGGTGTCAACATTGACCTTTTTCAAGGTTATTCCATACCGGCAACCTATTTTATTCTTTTTGGTTTATAGTTTTCAGTGTATGGAGACTAAAAACTTTGTCGACAGATATAAAAAGTGCCAATATTTCTTCTTTTATATGATATTTAAGTACTTTTATGCCTCATGCTGGACTGTTTGAGTTAAATTATATTTATTATTTTTTTTTTTTTTTTTTTTTTTTTTTAACTGGTCTGATAAATGCTGGAGTGTTAGAGTTAAATTATAGTTAAAATTTTTATTTATTTATTTATAAAGTCTGAGTGCGCATGCGCGACATGCCTTGGATACAAGGGTTCCCCCCATTAGCATATGTGTACTGAGTGCTTTATATAGTAGGCTTTGTGTAATAATTTCCTCAAACAAGGTGTGACACAAAATTTGAATTCAGGGAAGATAATCCAATTAGGAATATAGGCAAAGTTTGAAAAATCGTAGCTCCGTTGTTTGCGGTCCGATGTATAAACTGTTTAGTGTTTTGGAAGAGACATTTAACTGCGGAAATTGTGCTGACTTGATAGTGAAAATAAAATGTGTATAGCCGTTAAAGAAGACTTGGGTATTTGTTTACATATCAGACGTAGTAAGGAATACGGGAGGCTATATGGCAAACTTTGAAAAAGTCATAGCTCCGTTTTTAACCGTTTGATTTACAAAATGTTTAACGTTTTGGAAAGGACATTCAATTGGGCAAATTGTGCAGTCTAGGTTTGGAAGATCAGGTAAGGCATTCAAAAGTTATAGGTCGATAAAGAACACATGGGTATTTGTTTACATATTAGACGTAGTATGGAACACGGAAGTGTACATGGCAAACTTTGAAAAATCATAGCTCCGTTGTTTACCGTTTGATTTCCAAAATGTTTAACGTTTTGGAATGGGCATGCAATTGGGCAAATTGTGCAGTCTGGTTTTGGAACATCAGCTCAGGCATTCAAAAGTTATAGGTCGATAAAAAAGCCAACTAATAACTGTAACATGCTTATTCCTGGTACAACATTAGCAGGTGCTCCACCTTACTATGCAACATAGAATGGCACTGCCTATTTTTTAACCGACATTTATAAGAGGAGAAAGCACAGGTGTATGTAAAGAACACTCTGAGAATACCAAAGCATATGCCTCATATGGAATTATACTCCTTGGTACAACATTTTGGAGTGCTCCATGTGTAAATAGCAATCTGTGTTGAGGAATGCGAATGTTTTTCTAGGGACTTGCAAAGGCTGTTAAAAAGGGTTAATTTGCACCTAAACATACTTTATTGAATCAGCAGTTAGTTGGTTTAGGCTTCTGTGGCAGGAATTGCTGGTACAACAATTCAATGTGCTCCGCATAAATATTTAGGACACGATAGGACTGACCTGTCGTGTGAAGGAGTTTAAGTGTCAAATTGGTATATTTGTTGTATTCATGAATAAAATTGACCTTTTTCTTGATTATTCCTTACCGGCATAAACATTTTATACTTGTGGTAGCTCAGGTTTGATAGATTTACACAGTTTGCCAGTCTACAGTTACTCAATTAAACATACAATTTGACAGGAATGAATGAAAATGGCAAACTGCTACTTTGCATTTTGTAAGAATAGTATATAATTGAGATAGCTGTCTAGTTAACCTTAAAATCCCAGTTGATTTGAGAAAGTTGTAGAAATTCTTAAAGGTGACTATCTGAATGTAGTCAGAAGTGAAAATCTTAGCCTTTTTCACCTATGAAATAAACCTACAATTTGACAGGAAGGTTAATAAAATGGCAAATGACTTTGCAATTGGTAAGAACAGTATATAATTGAGACAGCTGTCATGTTTTATAAAAATCCAAGTCGATTTGAAAAAGTGACAGAAATGTTTAAGGTTGACTATCTGAATTTATTGCGCACTGAAAATTTAAGCTGTTTTGACTTCTCAATTAAAACATACCATTTACCAGTAATCAACCCAAATGCCAAATGACTCTGTCCTATGTAAGAACAGGGTATATTGGAAATAGCTGTCAAGGTTTTTGAAAATCCAAGTCGATTTGAAAAAGTTACAGAAATGTTTAAGGTTGACTATCTGAATTTATTGCGCACTGAAAATTTAAGCTGTTTTGACTTGTCAATTAAAACCTACCGTTTGCAAAAATATTTGACAGCATCAACTTAAACTGACCATATTTGCACATTATTATGTAAATCTATATAGCCGCATAATAATTCAGTAATAATTTTATGTCAAGAATGAATGTTTTATACAAATGACAGTAGTATTGGAACATAATGTGAATACACAATTTTCTCCGTATAAATATAGATTGCCAGCATGTCCTCTTTTTAATCAAAATATTGTCTAGCAACAAAATTTCAGTAGTTTTGATACCTCAGGCTGACTCCTATAACAAAATTATTTGACTGCATCAACCAAAACTGACCATATTTGCACTTTATTTTGTAAATCTATATAGCCGCATGGTAAATCAGCAACTATTTTTATGTCAGGATTTAATGTATAATACAAATGACAGCAATATTGGAACACAACAACTACAAATTTTTGTCCGCATAAATTAAGAGTGCCAGCATGTCCTCCTTTTGTTCAATATATTGATACGTAACAAAATTTAAGTAGTTTTGATACCCCAGGCTGACTCATATAGCAAAATGTCAGGATGTATTAATTTAATCCTTAAATTTGACAGCAATACACCAAACTACATAATGACCTATGATTTAGTAAGATCAATATATTACTAAAATAGCTGTATAGGTTGATGAAAATCCTAGTTGATTTGAAAAAGTTATAAAAAAAATTAAAGTGTACTATCTGAATATAGTCGGAACTGCAAATTCAATCTTTTTTTACCTAGAGATTTGTAAGCAACACACCAAACTACATAATGACCTGTGATTGAGTATATTACTAATATAGCTGCATAGTTTGATGAAAATCCAAGTTGATTTGAAAAAGTTATAAAAAAAATTAAGGTGAGTGTACTATCTGAAATGCTGAATTTTGTCCAAAATTGCAAATCCTAGCTTTTTTGACCTTCATTAAATTTGACAGCAATACACCAAACTACATAATGACCTTTGATTCAGTAAGATCAATATGTTACCAAGATAGCTGTATAGTTTGATGAAAATCCAAGTTGATTTGAAAAAGTTATAAAAAGATTTAAGGTGTACTATCTGAATATAGTCGGAACTGCAAATTCAAGCTTTTTGGACCTAGATTAATTTAATCCTTAAATTTGACAGCAATACACCAAACTACATAATGACCTATGATTTAGTAAGATCAATATATTACTAAGATAGCTGTATAGTTTGATGAAAATCCTAGTTGATTTGAAAAAGTTATAAAAAAAATTAGGGTTAGGTATCTGAATATAGTCCGAACTGCAAATTCAATCTTTTTTTACCTAGAAATTTGTAAGCAACACACCAAACTACATAATGACCTGTGATTGAGTAAGATCAATATATTACTAATATAGCTGCATAGTTTGATGAAAATCCAAGTTGATTTGAAAAAGTTATAAAAAAAATTAAGGTGAGTGTACTATCTGAAATGCTGAATTTTGTCCAAAATTGCAAATCCTAGCTTTTTTGACCTTCATTAAATTTGACAGCAATACACCAAACTACATAATGACCTTTGATTCAGTAAGATCAATATGTTACCAAGATAGCTGTATAGTTTGATGAAAATCCAAGTTGATTTGAAAAAGTTATAAAAAGATTTAAGGTGTACTATCTGAATATAGTCGGAACTGCAAATTCAAGCTTTTTGGACCTAGATTAATTTAATCCTTAAATTTGACAGCAATACACCAAACTACATAATGACCTATGATTTAGTAAGATCAATATATTACTAAGATAGCTGTATAGTTTGATGAAAATCCTAGTTGATTTGAAAAAGTTATAAAAAAAATTAGGGTTAGGTATCTGAATATAGTCCGAACTGCAAATTCAATCTTTTTTTACCTAGAAATTTGTAAGCAACACACCAAACTACATAATGACCTGTGATTGAGTAAGATCAATATATTACTAATATAGCTGCATAGTTTGATGAAAATCCAAGTTGATTTGAAAAAGTTATAAAAAAAATTAAGGTGAGTGTACTATCTGAAATGCTGAATTTTGTCCAAAATTGCAAATCCTAGCTTTTTTGACCTTCATTAAATTTGACAGCAATACACCAAACTACATAATGACCTTTGATTCAGTAAGATCAATATGTTACCAAGATAGCTGTATAGTTTGATGAAAATCCAAGTTGATTTGAAAAAGTTATAAAAAGATTTAAGGTGTACTATCTGAATATAGTCGGAACTGCAAATTCAAGCTTTTTGGACCTAGATTAATTTAATCCTTAAATTTGACAGCAATACACCAAACTACATAATGACCTATGATTTAGTAAGATCAATATATTACTAAGATAGCTGTATAGTTTGATGAAAATCCTAGTTGATTTGAAAAAGTTATAAAAAAAATTAGGGTTAGGTATCTGAATATAGTCCGAACTGCAAATTCAATCTTTTTTTACCTAGAAATTTGTAAGCAACACACCAAACTACATAATGACCTGTGATTGAGTAAGATCAATATATTACTAATATAGCTGCATAGTTTGATGAAAATCCAAGTTGATTTGAAAAAGTTATAAAACAAATTAAGGTGAGTGTACTATCTGAAATGCTGAATTTTGTCCAAAATTGCAAATCCTAGCTTTTTTGACCTTCATTAAATTTGACAGCAATACACCAAACTACATAATGACCTTTGATTCAGTAAGATCAATATGTTACCAAGATAGCTGTATAGTTTGATGAAAATCCAAGTTGATTTGAAAAAGTTATAAAAAGATTTAAGGTGTACTATCTGAATATAGTCGGAACTGCAAATTCAAGCTTTTTGGACCTAGATTAATTTAATCCTTAAATTTGACAGCAATACACCAAACTACATAATGACCTATGATTTAGTAAGATCAATATATTACTAAGATAGCTGTATAGTTTGATGAAAATCCTAGTTGATTTGAAAAAGTTATAAAAAAAATTAGGGTTAGGTATCTGAATATAGTCCGAACTGCAAATTCAATCTTTTTTTACCTAGAAATTTGTAAGCAACACACCAAACTACATAATGACCTGTGATTGAGTAAGATCAATATATTACTAATATAGCTGCATAGTTTGATGAAAATCCAAGTTGATTTGAAAAAGTTATAAAAAAAATTAAGGTGAGTGTACTATCTGAAATGCTGAATTTTGTCCAAAATTGCAAATCCTAGCTTTTTTGACCTTCATTAAATTTGACAGCAATACACCAAACTACATAATGACCTTTGATTCAGTAAGATCAATATGTTACCAAGATAGCTGTATAGTTTGATGAAAATCCAAGTTGATTTGAAAAAGTTATAAAAAGATTTAAGGTGTACTATCTGAATATAGTCGGAACTGCAAATTCAAGCTTTTTGGACCTAGATTAATTTAATCCTTAAATTTGACAGCAATACACCAAACTACATAATGACCTATGATTTAGTAAGATCAATATATTACTAAGATAGCTGTATAGTTTGATGAAAATCCTAGTTGATTTGAAAAAGTTATAAAAAAAATTAGGGTTAGGTATCTGAATATAGTCCGAACTGCAAATTCAATCTTTTTTTACCTAGAAATTTGTAAGCAACACACCAAACTACATAATGACCTGTGATT